TGTAATCAACATACTTGAGTAACTGAGAGACTATAAAACAAAGAGATATGTTTGTTCCATCAAAATTGTGTTTTGAGTTTTCAAAATTTTGAGTGTTCTCACCTTGAAATATAAATAAATGTAAAACAATATAATTTTTTAAATAATATTATCAAAATACATTTATTTTCCACACACAAATATAGGAARTACTTAAAATAATAAACTTACGTTGAATAGCATTTTGCAAAAATGTGTGTAGAATATTATCACCTAATAAACTATTTGTAATGAGGTTAATCATAAACTCTTGATTACAACTTATTGATTGGGATTCATCTAAATCAATGAAATAGTTTTAAATAATTGGAACAATATTTAGCTATTAAGACTAATAATTTCATACCATTTGGCGAAGTCAGAGGTTGTAATATAGTACATAACATGCTAGCTCTTTCATTTGGTGTTTGAAATAGTATAAGCCATCCAACTTCTAAGGTTTTTTGAGCAGCTTGTTTAACAGTATTTATTACTTTTGTGTTTGATGCTAAGTCAGTAACTGTTTGACGTATACTTAATAATAACTTTGAGCTTCCAATAAGCCCAACAGAATCAGCACTCACATGATTGTTAATCATAGAATRAAACTATTAATAGAAATAGTATATTACAAATAATTTAATGTTTCATTGAAAGATTTAAATTTACCTGTAAAGTAAGTAAATGTAATACTGAKATTAATACACATTCTTGCTGTTGAGAAGGTGGCCAATCAATATATGTCTTATATGCTTTAAATTCATTAGACAAAAGTTGTTCTAAATAATTTAATGTTTGTATTTGTAAGTCTGTTGCAAATGATGTAGATGTTCCAACATTAAATTCTTCACAATCATACCAAGCAAAACACTTGAAAATTAACAAATAAGGTAAATTAATTCATTGGTAATATTTAAATAAACAGATTTAAAATTTATATTCATTATTATTTTAAAATATTTAAAATCTTAATATATTAATTTTGAAATTAATAAATTAGTAAATTTTAATTTGCTAAAAAGATTATATAATATTACTAACAAGTCAGTATTTATCAWTTAATTAAGATTCAAATAATATTGATTATAACATARAATAATAATAAAATATAAATATGTATTTTCATCCTTAACATTTTTTTTAGCAGTTATATTTACTTGATTTGGGCTGCAAGCAATTTTTTTCACCTGTCTATTCATTAAACACTTAACTGGTCTGCATTGGGTGGTATTTTCATTGTCTAACTGACCCCAACAATAGACTTGGCCTGTAGCAGTCAATGCTAGTATATAATCATCTGCTAATGAAAGAGATGTAACTCGTTTGCCTATTTATAGAAATAATTATATAGAGTGATGATTACATATAAAACACATTTGTACATATATTATATATATATATATAAAAGAAATTCACCACTTAAAAATTTAACTTCCTTGGGTCGATTGACACGAAATGAGTTATTGTGGCCTAACATATTATTGTTACCTCTTCCCCAAGTAAACACATTGTTAGCACAATCAATAACAGCATTTACATCATTATGACAATATACTGATACAATTTCATAATCAAATACAATCATGCTGGGTATTACATTCAAAGATTTATCATCACAACCTAATGAAAAAATAAATATATATATATAAAAGTAGTAAAAAGAAGCAAAACAGGGCAGGTTTAAAAAACAAACCTTGGTCAGAGTTTCTATATTCAAATGAAAATACGTATCCTTCTCTGGATAAAGCCAGTGTATTATTAATAGATGCTCCACAAGAAACTTTTGATACATGCCACTCTATTAAAAAAAAAAGTAAGCACATGAAAGTAATAAAAAACTAAGAATTATTAATTAACATAGATCACGGATTTATATACACTAAAAATGCTTAAATATGTACAATTATATGCACTGTTTAAAGTTAAAATATGCACTCAAAAATCATGAGAAAAAAAACAATTATTTCTTCATAAATCATAATCATAAACATTTAATAAATAAATAATATTAATAGTTCGATATAAGAAATGGTCTTTTCTTATCTTAGTAAGTCATTAGCTTAATAACAAGACACATACAAGAAGTCCATACATACATATATCTAATTATTTCAATGTAGATTTAAAAATTTAAAAACAAAATTTAAACAATATATATATATTATTTTTTTCTCAATAATTTCAATTTATAACAAAATTTCTAGAAACTTCTTAACATACAGTAAAAGATTAAAATTCAAGTAACACCATAAAATAAATCTTTAAAACATCAAAAGGTTGAAATACTCAGAAAGATATACTAAAAAAGTTTARTATTATAATCAATATAAAAGCTATGAAACTAATATTGTGCTTACTTAGCAGATGATAAATCAGAATAAATATGCAATTGCATAGAAATCCGCRCTCTAGTTATTAATATTTAAGTATAATTACCTGAAATGGATTTAACTAACTCTGGAGTATAGCAACAATTACTACTGTGTAATATTTTACCCCACATGTACAATTTACCATCCTCAGTAACAGCAGAACTAAAATAATTTTAAGTTGTACAATATGTATTCTTTATACAATTCACAAATAAGACTATTTCATTTTTTGTTTTTTTATATGTCAATGTATAATTTTTCAACATAGACCATATTAATATTTATAAGTAAATAAAAAAAGATCATTATTAACATAGTTAATTAATAATTACCAGAAATCTTTTCCACATGAAACCATAACAACTATAACCTTAGAAAATGCTACAATTGGTTCTGGAGTAGGAAAAGAAGAATAGTTTTGACCATGGCCTAAAGAGCCAAATTCATTAGCACCCCAAGAGTACACTTCTCCTTTTTGAGTAACTGCCAAGTAAGTTTCATCATAAACATCAACAGATTTAATAGGCACATTCATCATTTGTTTTTCTTCAAAATTCTAATCATATAATTTTTGATTTTTTTAATTATTTGAAAAAAATATTAAAAATTAAATATAAAAATTCAAATTACCAATGAATCAATTGAATAGCTAATAAAATGTAAAGTTCCACTGGTCRTYACCACCAAAATTTCGTTTCTTGAACACACCACAGACTCAACATGCAAACGCTCAAGGGTGGATATTACTTTTTTTTTGGTTTCAGGATAAAATTGTTTACCCCAATACTGTACAATATTATTTTTATTTTTAATCTCATGTACTTTTTGCTATAATTTAAAAGTTTTAAATTTTACTAATCAATTTAAATTTGAATAATATTATTGAGTTTATATTACTTGAAGCGTTAAGTAAGTGACAGCTATTTGGTCTAAAAATGCTAAAATCATTACAGCTGTTTGTTTCATTCCAGTAGGTTCTGGATTATTAGCATCACCATTTAGTCTTAAAAAACTTTTTGTGACATTATCCTAAAATAATTTAATAAATATATATTATAACAGTATAATTAAACAATGCAAGAAAAAATGAATACTTTTTTTGAATCATTCACATCATAGTTGAAATTGTTTTGAATTCTAATTACTACCCAATTTAATCGGCGAAGTGTTATTGTTAATAAATTATGTAAATGTCTACTGTAAATCCTAAAAATTTAAAATGGATGTTATAWTATTCAAAATATGATTAGATAAAAATAAGAATTACTTGTCACAGTGTAATCCTAATTCAAAAAACATAAGTATACACTGTAATATTTGACTAAGTGACTTTTTTTGTAGTCCTATTTCTAATGAAAGACACAAAGCAAATTGTCTGTCAGTATTTGGAATGTGATTTACATTAACGCTTTCTTTTTYGGATACATTTATATTTCTAAAAATGCAATATAAAATTTGTATTAAAATAATATTGTAGARATTAAGAAAATATATTAATTTTATAATACCCATTGACTACTTGAAATAGGAACTTTGATGATTTTTCTAGAGTTTCAATCCAGAAAGTAGGAACATTGCTTTCATCTACAAGGTAATCTTCTGGAATACATTGCAGTGCTTCTAATGAGTCTTTAAGCATTTGCGTGCATAAATCAGAATTATTTCCTGATCGCCAAGTGCTGACTAGAAATCCAAATGAGAAGTTTATTGCAGTCTSTGTACCAATTTTAGCAAATAAAGACATTTTCTCATCATCATTAGTATTGCTAAAAAATGTAAAATAATATTAATAAATAATAATAAACATTGTTAAAATACTATTTACTTTTTTATTTTAATGGAATTTTCACACTTTTGGTGTATCATTGTCGACTGTGTTTGAGTATTTGAATTAGATTGAAAAAAAGAATCTCTATAAAAAGCACCAAAGTAACGGGAAGCAATAGCCATCCGAAGTTGTGTTCGATTGAAAAATAATGTAGAATAACAAATATCTTCACATAGTTTTCTTTGTTCAGCCGCATATACAGATATCAATGATTTTACATCATCTTTATCTAACAAAAAATATTAAATTAAAATCCTGGTACATGTTGTTATATATGTATATATTAGAATAACTTACTACAATTCGGTTTCCACATTAGAGATTCAAACATTTGTTTGGACTTGAGTGTTTCACTGAYATCATCAGATTTACAAGTAATACAGTTACATACCTTGTCAGTTGGGTCATCTTTGCATGGGCAGTTTACTGCCCAAAGACCAATATAATATCGTCCAGATGGGTCTACTAAAGGAAAACGAATGTTTATTTTTATATAAAATGTATACATTAAATCACAAAGGGCATGTTAATGTTAAACCTTTTTTTGAATGCAATAAATTGCTATTGTCCACAGGGATCAGCTCAGAATCTTCTATCATTTCATTCCAATAATTGGTAAGTTGTTTTTCGTCCAATGCTTCATGAAGTTCTATTGCGAGCCATTTGGGATCAAAAGCAGTCTTTTGCTTTATGGTAAATTCGATTTTGGTACTCATTTTGATTTTGATTCAAGTAATGGATTAATAAATGTAGATAATTGTTAATAATTCCATAAATTGTCCAAACAGTCCAATCACATGTATATTATACATTTTTTTTTTTTTTTTGATTTAATCATCAACCAGACAGTTATAATATGTTAGATATAATTAACTAGTTAAAAAAAGTGATTTAGTATAACTTAACTAAAGAGTTAAAAACTAAATGCAGTATTAGTGTATTACATCTCAGTATTTATATTTTATATCTTAGATATTTTGAACTTATTTCAAATTTGACCGTGTTTGGCGTTTGTAATATCTTATCACTTAAAATCAAATCAATAAACAGTTTGCTATCAAACATTTTTAACAGATAACAATTAATACAACAACCACCCGCACATATTCTGGACTACCAACTATACAGAAGTTAAAGTTAGATTTTCAAATACAATGTTTTCGGTGAAAAATATATT